TGCTACAGGGCACCAGGGCTGCGCAAAATCATATTTAATATATATACATACACACACACACATATATACACACACACACACATGATGTCGCATTTTCTGGGTAGGGGATGAGTGCGCCGCCCTACCCGCGCCACCATTGGCGGCTACAGATGTTGATCACTGGGTCACAGCCAAAGATTCCCCGTTGGCACCCGGCGATTGCCGAGTATCACTGATAGGGGAGAGACCTGTGTGTAAACAACACAGGTCTGTCTCCTGCCAGCAGTAACAACATGCTGCTGTGCATTTCTCTACACAGCAGAGAAATACACAGTAGTATGTTTCCGTAGTAAAACACACACAGTAAAAAGCACACTGTTAACCCCTTCCTGCCCAGTGTCATTAGTACAGTGTCAGTGCTTCTTATCCCCGAGCACTGTATTAGTGTCACTGGGGATGTTAGTGGCAGTTAGTCAGTTCCCCCCCAGTGTCAGAATGCCTACCGCAGTCCCACTATAAGTCGCTGATAGCTGCCATTTCTAGTATAAAAAATTCCAGTATATATACCGCCATTTGTAGACGCTATAACTTTCACATAAACCAATTAATTTACATGTATTAGGATTTTTTTTTAGCAAAGAGATGTAGAAGAATACATTCTGGCCTAAATTTATGAAAAAATTAGATTTTTTAAAATTTTTTAGTTTTTTTTCCCCAAAAATGCCGGTCTTTTTTTGTTTATAGTGCAAAACATAAAACCCGCACAGGTGATCAAATATGACCAAAAAAAAAAAAACCTCTATTTCTGGGGGAAAAAAGGACATAAACCTCATTTATGTACAGCGTAGCATGATCGCGCAATTGTCAGCTAAAGTAACGTAGCGCCGTATCGCAAAAAATGGCCTGGTCAAGAAGGAGGGTAAATCCTCTGGAGGGCTAGTGGTTAACTATTTATGCCTCATTTGCGTTCATAAATAGGGAGCACAATCCCAATATTCCTCCCACTTGTAGTAAAGCAAGCAGAGGGAACATTAGGAAGTTAAATGTATGGGGTTCCCTGTGATGTTCGAGGTCTAATGCTATATTAGATATAAAACCAGTTGCACCTATTGTCCTATTAGGCACAATAAGTCCTATCATATCTATTTTACATTATCCTCTCTCTTTATACCAACAGATAATTTGGCAATACTGGTCAAACTGAATCAACCAGGAGATGGAATATTAACAGTAATTTCCCAACAAGGAAGGGCTCACAACCAAATGCAGATACAGAACCCCTTTTCCAAGAATTGGGACAGAACACAGGATAAGCAAAAGATATAAGCGTAAGAGCAGAGTTTCCCTATTCTAAAGAAGGCTGTAAGCCTGAGATTACCTAACCTCTGAGTACAAGGAAAAGGGAGGTGCATGAGCAGAAGAAATCTCAGGTCATTTACCATATCAGGGACAAAAATCCTTGGAAAGAATTCTGAGAATGACTGATTCAGAAGTAACCACAGGGTGTGACCAATGGTTTCTGCACCCTCCCAGAGAACCAAAGTTTTATCATCAGCACAGCTAATAGGGAAGGCACATTAGAGCTTCTAATACAAGGAGCAGGAAGGGGATAGCAGGTAGATCTCATCACAAAATGGAAAACCATGTTAAAATTGCAAAAACATTCCAGGTGACATTTCTGTTTTATGATTCAAGAAATCACAAACATGGAAAGAAGTATCACAAGAGATTAATGGCATTTGATACGCCACTTTTAATGTCCAATCAGTGACATCGTAGTGTGAGGAATTGGGCCCCAAGATTAATGCTGGCCATACATTAGACAATTCTGTGGCAGTGGGAACCACTTCAACCATTTTGAAAGGCAGGACCAGCTCATGATCATGTGACACTGATTCACTGTGTCCGCATGACTAGACAAGGGCTTGTCCCAGGGACAAAGAGGTTAAGATTCCAGATTGTAAGTTATTTTTTTTTCTATACAAACTCAGATCCTTGGCATACATACATTTTTAAGCAACAAGTCTATGGGGATACATGCATCTGTAACATAAGATTCCTGATATGGAAAATTTCTAAAGTTAAATATGACAACTTTCATACTGTATCCCTGCGAAAATAGAACTGCCTAATAGAGGCACATATTCAAACTATAACTGTAGTTTTGAACAACTGCGATAAAAGGTATGAATTCACCTGTACCCATGCCACATCTAGTGTATTCTTAAGGGTTCACACACATGTACTTTCAAATCACTGAAATGGGGAAAGGCCTATTTGGTAACTAGCAATGGGCAACACCCCAGAATAACCATATTTAATTTTTTTTTTATATTACAGGTATTTATATAGAGCTACAGTATCAAACAGAAGTGAGTACATTCCTCACATTTTTGTAAATATTTTATAATATCTTTTCATGTGACAACACTGAAGAAATGACACTTTGTACACTCACTATTTTACATTGTAGCAGCTTGTATAAGTGTAAATTTGCTGTCCCCTCAAAATAACTCAACATACAACCATTAATGTCTAAACCGCCAACAACAAAAGTGAGTACACCCTTAAGTGAAAATGTCCAAATCGGGCCCAAAGTGTCAATATTTTGAGTGGCCACCATTATTTTCCAGCACTGCCGTAACCCTCTTGGGCATTTAGTTCACCAGAGCTTCACAGGTAGCCACTGGAGTCCTCTTCCATTCCTCCGTGACGATATCACGGAGCTGGTGGATGTTGGAGACCTTGTGCTCCTCCACCTTCCATTTGAGGATGCCCCACAGATGCTCAATAGGGTTTAGGTCTGGAGACATGCTTGGCCAGGCCATCACATTTACCCTCAGCTTCTTTAGCAAGGCAGCGGTCATCTTGGAGGAGTGTTTGGGGTCGTTATGTTGAAATACTGCCCTGCGGCCCAGTCACCGAAGGGAGGGGATCATGCTCTGCTTCAATATGTCACAGTACATGTTGGCATTCATGGTTCCCTCAATGAACTGTAGCTCCCCAGTGCCAGCAGCACTCATACAGCCCCAGACCATGACACTCCCACCACCATGCTTGACTGTAGGCAAGACACACTTGTCTTTGTATTCCTCACCTAGTTGCTGCCACACACGCTTGACACCATCTGAACCAAATAAGTTTATCTTGGTCTCATCAGACCACAGACATGGTTCCAGTAATCCATGTCCTTAGTCTGCTTGTCTCCAACAAACTGTTTGTGGGCTTTCTAGTGCATCATCTTTAGAAGAGGCTTCCTTCTGGGACGACAGACATGCAGACCAATTTGATGCAATGTGCGGCGTATGGTCTGATCACTGACAGGCTGACTCCCCACCCCTTCAACCTTTGCAGAAATGCTGGCAGCACTCCTACGTCTACTTCCCAAAGACAACCTTTGGATAGGACGCTGAGCACGTGCACTTAACTTCTTTGGTCGACCATGGTGAGGCCTGTTCTGAGTGGAACCTGTTCTTGTAAATGGCTGTATGGTCTTGGCCACTGTGCTGCAGCTCAGTTTCAGGGTCTTGGCAATCTTCTTATAGCCTAGGCCAGTGGTCGGCAAGCCGCGGCTCGCGAGCCACATGCGGCTCTTTACACGCTTTAATGCGGCTCTTGTGTGCCGGGCGCCCGCTCCCCTCCCTCCTCTCGGGCGGCAGGGACTCTGCAGCGTGATCCAAAAAAAAAAAACAGCCAGGGCAGCACGCTCAAATGCAATGATTGGCCAGTCTCGCTGCCACTCACATCCTGATAGCCAGTGAGTTCCTGTCAGGATGTGTGTAGGCGGGGCAGCGTGACGAACGTGAGAGGAGCTAGGCTCCTCTCACAGTCCGCCCTGAAGACCGGAACGGCGCGGGAACACGCGAGAGGAACGCGCGGAGCAAAGGTAAGTGAATTGACACAGGGGGGACTTGGCTTACTACTTGGGGGGGAATAGTACTGTGAGGGATGATTTAATATGGGGTATGAATTACTATAGGGGGATGAATTACTATAGGGGGGATGAATTACTATAGGGGGGGATGAATTACTATAGGGGGGATGAATTACTATATGGGGATGAATTACTATATGGGGGATGAATTACTATGGGGGATGAATTACTATAAAAACTTATTGAAACTAAAAACAGTGTACCATCCTATGTATTTTCAGTTTTAAAAATGTGGCTCTCAAAATAAATTTCAATCGTGGTTTTGGCAAGATTTGGCTCAGTTGAAAAAAAGGTTGCCCACCACTGGCCTAGGCTATCTTTATGTAGAGCAGCAATTCTTTTTTTTTTTTTTCCAGATCCTCAGAGTTCTTTGCCATGAGGTGCCATGCTGAACTTTCAGTAACCAGTATGATAGAGTGAGAGCGATAAAATCAAATTTAACACACCTGCTTCCTATTCACACCTGAGACCTTGTAACACTAACGAGTCACATGACACTGGGGAGGGAAAATTGCTAATTGGGCCCAATTTGGACATTTTCACTTAGGGATGTACTCACTTTTGTCGCCAGCGGTTTAGACATTAATGGCTGTGTGTTGAGTTATTTTGAGGGGACAGCAAATTTACACGGTTATACAAGCTGTACACTCACTACTTTACATTGTAGCAAAGTGTCATTTCTTCAGTGTTGTCACATGAACAGATATAATAAAATATTTACAAAAATGTGAGGAGTGTACTCACTTCTGTGAGATACTGTATTAATTTAGGCAGTGCTTTACATAATGTACATTCACATCAAACCCTGCCCTCAAAGAGCTTAAAGTCTAAGGTCCCAATCTTCCATGCATACACAAAGAACAAATTTAAATATGAAACAATTAACTTTCCAATAAGTCTCTTATTGGGAGTTTTGGAAGAAACAGGAGTACCCGGAAGAAACTTGAAACCACACAGAGAACATGTAACCTTCTATGCAGATAGGGTCCTAGCTGGGATTTGAGCCAAGGACCCCAGTGCTGCAAGGCACTTATAGACTTATTTCCTCAAGTGTGTTTCAAACATATTCGGCTGTTTATTTACTTACTTTGGATCCAAATTCAACCAAATTTGCTAAATTTTGCAGAGACTTGGCGACCAGCGTCAATGTCCTTGCAGCAGTTGGAGAAGGAGAATCTATCAGAGAATAAATATCAAAGCAGTAAAGATTAGATTCTGAGATTACTTTACAGTTAATAGCTATAATACAAGCTCTTCTAAAACAATTAAGTGCTTATATATTTCAATCCGTTCCCGTCAAAACACGTGGGCAAACATTTTAAAAGTAGTATGGCAAAAGCTCTTTGGGTCACAACTTCCCTTGTGGGTCACATGAGTGCACTTTACTAGTGCTCTTCTGTGATCCAGAATCAGCCAACAGTGGGCCACAATGCTACTCCAGACTTTTTACTCAACGTAACATCATTAAGTGTATTATTTCCATAAAAATTGCATTTGAAAAAACGCTGCCTAAATACTGTGCATTATAAACCACCATTTTATTCTCTAGGGTATCTAATAAAGAAAATAAAAAATATAGCATATGTTTGGGTGCTCCAAGTAATTTTCTAGCAAAAAAACAGTTTTTAGGATGGATCATGTAACATGTTCCCAATGCTGTAGCCGACATCCGCTGCTCCCCCTCCCTCTGACAGAAGTATGGGGAGAAGTTCCCCCTTACTGTCTGTCAGATTTGAATACAGCATGGTCATGCAGGGCTCCGCCCACGTGGTCACGTCTTCATTCACAGAGTTCCGTGAATGAATGCACTACAACTCCCAGCAGCCTTAGCAGCTGTCAGCTTGTAGTTTTTAATTAACTACCACGGGGCTGTGAAGTGCTGTAGTGGTTCATTGAATCTTCCTGTCAGTATATCTGCTTGCTTGTACATCCCGTACGGGAAAGCAGATATACTCACAGATCTGCAAGAGACCTGCATGGCACCTGTGATCTACTGATTGCTGGTGCAATGCTTTCCAGGCTTTGGCAGACATAAATAAATGCACATTTTGTTACCTGCAAGATGCACAAGATGAAGTTATCGTTTGACTTGCAACACTAAAGCAAGCACATTAAGGATTCTTTTTTTTTTTTTCTTACCTGAGATGATATTAAACATCCTTGGATTAAGGATAGCAGGACAGATTAGTCGCAGAAAAACAAAGCCACTGAAAAAAAAAAAAAAAAATTGAAATATTTAGGAATCCTTCATACTAATTATGTTAGTAGCTAACACTGTCAGCACAGCAGTTAAGGAAAGCAACATAGCTGTCTAGACAAAATACTCCACTACTCTGGTACCACTGGTAACAAGGACATGCAGAGCTGCGGCTCGGGTGCAGCAATGGCAAGCAGCTTGCTGTGGGGGCACCTGACAGGAGCGCCAGCAGGGGACAGAGAAGAGGAGGATCCAGGCTGCTCTGTGCAAAACCACTGCACAGAGCAGTTAAGGATCACATTTTTTTTTTCTTTTTTTTTTTAACCACTTGCCCTCCAGAGGATTTACCCCCCCCCCCCCTCCTGACCTTTTTTTGAGTTACGGCGCTGTGTTACTTTAACCACTTGCCTACCAGGCACTTATACCCCCTTCCTTACCAGGCCAATTTCAGCTCTCAGCGCTGTTGCACTTTGAATGACAATTGCGCAGTCATGCAACATTGTACCCATATGAAATTTGTATCATGTTTTTCTCACAAATAGAGCTTTCTTTTGGTGATTTTTACTTGCCACTGGGTGTTTTACTTTTTGCGCTATAAACACTATAAACAAAAAATAGCAAAAAAGTTTGTTTCTATTATAAAATTTTGCAAAACAGGTAATTTTTCTCCTTCACTGATGTGCATTGATGAGGCTGCACTGATAGGTAGCACTGATGGGCATTGATAGGCGGCACTAATGAGGTGGCACTGATGATGGGTACTGACAGTAGGCACAAATAGGCAGCACTGCTGGGCACTGACTGGCGGCACAGGTAGGTGGCACTGCTGGGCACCGATCATCAGTGCCCTGATGGTCAGTGCCGATCCCTGATCTGACAACTGCCGGTTCCCGGCAGTACTTTCCTCACGCTCTGACAGCGTGAGGAAAGTGCAGCCGAGAACCGGCAATTGCATTTCCCTGTGATCAGTGTGTCATTGGACACGGCTGATCACGTGGTAAAAGGCCGCTGTGATTGGCCTTTTACCACATCACGTGATCAGCTGTGTCCGTAGGACAAAGTGATCACAAAGATCGCCAGGGGCGCGCAGGAGAGTGTGTTCTGGGAGGACGTCATATGACGCCCTCCCAGAACTGGCCGGCCGCAGTGCAGCCATCATTTTGGCTATCTGCGGTCGGCAACTAGTTAACTGACAATTGCATGGTCATGCAACACTGCACCCAAATGAACTATACGTCATTTTTTCCCCACAAAAAGAGCTTTCTTTCGGTGGTATTTGATCACCTGTGCATTTTTTATTTAGGCCAAAATATATTCTGCTACATGTCTTTGCTAAAAAAAAATCCCAATTAATTAGTTTACGTGAAAGTTATAGTGTTTACAAGTTGGGGTATATATAGTGGGATTTTTAAATTTTATTTTTACTAGTAACTGTGGCGATCAGAGACTTATAGTGGGACTGCGGCAGACATTCTGACACTGTGGGGAACTGACTTGGTATCACTGACATCCCCAGTGACACCAATACAGTGATCAGTGCTAATAAAAAGCACTGACACTGTACTAATGGCACTGGGCAGGAAGGGGTTAACAGTGTGCTGTTTTACTAGGGACTGCGTCTGTGTGCTTCACTGTAGGCACACTGCTTTGCATGGCTGTGCTGTGCAAAGCAGTCTGCAGGAGATGACAGGGGAGAGAACTGTTTTGTTTACAAACAGATCTCCCCTCCGTCGGAGATGCTCGGCAATTACCGGCCAGGACCCCGTGATTGACAGCCACGGCAGCGGATATATATATATACGCGATTTTGCGCACCCGTGTCACCCTGTAGCAGTACTTCTGCTATAGGGCGGACGGGAAGCGGTTAAACAAAGACTTTAGTATCACTTTAAGAGCTCTGAAAGACCCCAAGCTAATCCTTCAAATGCAGGGTAGTATGCACTGCATCGATAAGGTCCAAAGAGATATCTTGTAATTCTGGGGTGATGGAAGGAGACTGCGATACACAAAAAAGTTTCTTCAGAGACAGACTACTGGAACTCTGAATCTGAGCAGAGATGGTCATAACCCATGGTTAGACCTGTTCTAAGGTCTCAGAAAGGTCAGAGAGAGACTATAGGGAATAGCACTGGGGTGCGAAGGTTTGGATGAATCTGGTCACAAAGGAAACCTTGATGATGTACAGACGATAACTACAGGGTCACCAGATTCCAGACTGCAGGCATTCGTTCCCTCAGAGGATACCAAGTAGATGTCTGTGAAACAGTTAGGAGTGTGTGGGCTGAGGGTCACCGCTAGCAGTGGAAATTCCCCATCTTTGTCTATGTGCAGACATGCATGCGGATCGGACAGCCGGAGGTGTCTAGACTACTGGAGATGGGTGCAAGGAATTGGAATTCCTTGTGCTTGCAAAATAGGAGCAACAGCAAGATGGTGCATCCTCCACAGTGAATAGCAAGAAAGAGAGGGCAGAGCATGCACAACACTCCACCCAGCGGATGACAGTAATACTCAGTCAATCTGTATTAACTCTTTCTCACAGTAAAACAAGCAGTAGCAAGAGATTTGAAAGGTACCCAGAGATGCAAATAGCAAGGTAGTTTACAGTGCTTCAGCCCGAATGGCTTTACTTAAAATTGTAAAGTGTAAGTGCTGATGCAATGCATTGGCTCTGGACCTGGAGAGTGCTCCAGGACTAACCTTCACCAGTATACAAAGGTCTAGAATGCGCTACAATGCAGATCATAGTGTTCTAAGATCACATTCCAGGCTAGCCCAGCAATGTCCAGTCCAGTGGGGTCTGGGAATAGCACTACAAGGCAAGGCTTAGGAAAGGCCAATGCAGAGACCTGCATAGAAGAGACCAGCTCAAGCAGCAATGTAGTGAGAAACCTTGATCCAAAGGGAAAAAAAAAAAAAATTGAAGAAAAACGCTAGCAAAGGCTGGTTATTTTTTCCCCCAAGCACAGCGGGGGAAGAGAGTTCCATTCTCTCTGGACACTAGAAAAATCTGAGGCATGCTAGGCAAGGGTTTTGTTGCTCACCAGTGTCTGAATACCGATGTCCCTCAATGGATGAAAAGAAAAGCACCTTTAGGCACTTGACCTCCAGAAGGTTTTTTTTTTTCCCCTTCATGACCAGGGCATTTTTTTGCTATTCAGCACTGTGCTACTTTACTGGCAATTGCATGGTCATGCAACACTAACCAAATTAAATTCATACCATTTTTTTTTTTTAACACAGAGCTTTGGTGGTATTTTATCATCACTGGGTTTTTCTACTATAGCTGTGCCATGCCTACCTGAGAACTGAGCTATCACTTGAACGTTTTTCCCTCCACTCTGAGCACAGAACGGTGACTGTCAGTCACCGCTGTCTGCTCTGCCTCTCCAGCCAACGCCGAAGTGTCAGGCACTGCTGGCGTTGGCTCTCGGCTAGCTGTCAGTCAGGCGAGCCAGTCGATCCCGACAATATTGCTGGAATCCTTCCCAAGCCTGGCATGGCTCTGCCCCATAACCTGATAGATGGAAATAGCATGCTATTAGTTGACTCTACATCACAGGAGTACAGAAGTAAATATACCCCTGAGACCCACAATAGAAGCATGGCTTAAAAAAAGCTTTGGTCATACTTTTCTTTTAAAGTAGAAAAAAAACCCACCAATTTAACGGTTTGTCAAAACCATTACATTCAAGGCATGCCATGAATAACTCAACCACTGTCAAAAGCAGTCAAATGGCTGCTATCATAACTCTTTACAAGTGCAACACCATGGCAACTACAGATCAAACAGAGGGTAATATGGCAGAAATCTTGGTTGTTAAAGAGAGGAAGCTTTAGTTCTGCTTTAAACAGTCCAGTGTCAAACTCTAAAAGTATCTAAGCCCACCTACTCTATTACATAATGCTATCTGATATCACAGATTACAAAATGAATAACTGAAAGGGCTCTTCGCTCCATAGGAGCCAAGACTATTGTTCTCCTGACTCTCATCATCCTTCGCGTATTTATGTCACTGTACTTATTTATACAGAAACAGTTATAGTTTTTCTAATGTCAGAGGGGGTTATGTGACCATTTCCTATGCCTATGTAGCTGATTGAGTTATTTTCTAAACCAATTATTTATATAACTTTTTTTTCCTTACAAGCTATCAAGAAGTAAGCACTTGTGTTTTTCAGACTGATACACCACCAGTGGAAATTAACTAATAAAGACAGCTGTCAGACAGGTAAGAATAATCTTTTTTCATGCTGTCCATGTTTTTAACATTTGCAACTGGGTGACAGGGTATCTGCAAGCACAGTGGAGTAATCCAGCAGCTTAGTTCCCTAATCCCCTCTCCCCACCAGTGACTTGGAAGCCTGCCAGTCTTCTTTGATGCACACACAGAGGAAGAGTGAAGACTCGAGACCAGGGTGTCACATAACCATGGCCTTTGGTAAGTATAATGGGCTTATAAGGTTTTTTTTCTTATTTTTGTTAGCTAGCTATCCGAGAGGGTGGGTGGGGGGTTAACTTTATCCTGGAGAGGGAATACATATATTTATTTCAGGTACTTCTATAGCGCTGTCAATTTACGTATATTGTACATTCACATCAGTCCCTAATCCTCAAGGGGCGTAAAATGTAAGGTATATATGTAAATATTTGAATGCTCATAGCCTTGCCACAGTTTTACTTTAATGTAGGTTTTCATTAATAATCTACTGACAAAAATTATCATGAAGATTTCCTTCAATAGTATAATATTTTCAATAGTATAGTTTGGTCACTTACCTAACAACTCTGGTCCTCATAGTCGTGTTAGAAGTCCACTTTTGTTGAACAGATCTTTGTAAGCACCCATATATATACCTCAAAGTACTGTAAAAAGATAAAACAGCAGAAGAGAAAATGTTGGATAAGAAAGTAAATTTAATTCAGCGGTTCTTAACCAGTGGCTGAAATGCACCATATCCATGTAGTTCTTTACATGCAGTTTTTATAATTTCTAAAAAGATGTTGAGCACTTCATCTTGTGTTTCTTACTTATGGTCCTCAACAAGGTATTGAGACACCTTTTTTTTAAACCTTCTGGACCACTCTAATGTCTGGGAGCATATTAATGTACTGAACAGAATAGCTCAATACACATGAACAATCACAATAATCTCTTAACCATTTAGGGACCGCTCTATAGCAGATATGCTGCTACAGGGCATCACTGCTGTGCAAAATCACGTATAAATATGTGATTTTGCATTTCCGGGTAGGGAGCGTGCGCACACCCCACCCTACCCATGCTGCTATTGGTTTTCAGAGATGTCAATCACTGGGTCCCAGCAATTTGTAACCGGGGCTCGGCGATAGCTGGAGAAGCGGACAGGGGAGAGACCTGTCTGTAAATAACACAGGTCTCTCTAGTGCTAGCAGGGGCATGTTTCTTTCTCTCTGCAAAGCAGAGATAGAAAGCCACACATCCCCTAGTAAAAAAAATAGCACACAGCAAGCACAAAACAGCACACTGATAACCCCTTTCTGCCCAGTGTCATTAGTACAGTGTCAGTAATTTTTATTAGCACTGATCTTTGTATTAGTGTCACTGAATATGTCAGTGGCAGTTATTCCCACGCAGTGTCAATTCGTGTCAGAATTCCTGCCAAAGCCCTGCTATAAATTGCTGATCACCACCATTATTAGTATAAAAAAAATAAATAAAATTCCAGTTTATAAACCATCATTTGTAGCTGCTATAGCTTTCACCAATTAAATATAAACTTATTGAGATTTTTTTTTTTTTTTACCAAAGACATGTAGCAGAATACATTTTGTCCTAAATTTATGAAGATTTTTTTTAGCAGAGTTAAAAATACATTTTTGCTTTCAAAATTGTCAGCCTTTTCTTTTATAGCGCAAAAAATTAAAATGCAAATACCACCGCAAAAAATTAAAATGCAAATACCACCACAAAAAAAAAAAAACCCTATTTGTGGGAAAAAACGTCAAATTTAATTTATGTACAGCGCTTCATGACCACACAATTGTCAGTTAAAGCAACGCAGTGCCGTATCGCAAAAAATGGCCGTGGTGGGAATAGTGCGACCTGTAGTGTGATGCAACACCTAGTCACCCAAGACTAAGCTCTGAATGGTGAAAATGTTTCTGCCAAGTTTGAAAGTTTAAACACTCAATAAATGAACACAAACACCTTTCCATTTGGGAACTATAGAAATGGACCACAGCCTGGCCCTATATAGCACCCTGCGGCTAACACCACATGTTGAAAAACGAAGGCCTACCCAATCATCTGAAGGTAGCAGCCTATAATCCAGGTTCTATGAATATTCAGCTTGTGTCCTGTACTGTACAAGATAAGTATTTTTTTCAATAACATAGAAATTAACATATACACACTAATAATAACTTACGGTGGAAGGATTTCTGCTGCCATAAAAATCTTCTCCACTAATTCAGAAAGTATGCCTAAGAGGTGCGCTAAATTAGTGTGAACATCTTCATTCTTTTCCAACTTTGAAGGATTTAACTGCAAAAGATTTCACAGTAGCCATATAAAACATCATACAAAACTTTGCAAAATCAATCTTAAAATATATTACTTCCCATAGACAGGAGTATAAATGCAAACTGTACCACCACCTAATTGAATACTGTAAATAAATATGGTGGAATTGTGCAATGATGCCACCAGGGCTCATGTACATAAACTAGAGTAAAGCAACCTAGGACAAAAGAACAGCTGTTCTCAGTAACAATAAAAATTTGCCATTACATAGACTGAATGGGCTCGCTTTCCAGGAATATTTACAATGGCAAAACAATGGTATGACACCAACCCATCAAAATAGAGCACTAAACCAAAATGAGAGAAAAGGAGGATATGCTTGCAGATATCCAGGTAACTAGACTTATGGCAAGCATACATGGATCGAACGTTGGCCATTCAGTCCGCGACAGTGAGAGGAAATCACCTGATTCCTTTATCCATGCAAACATCCTGATATTCAAGCAGCTGCTGTTCCTGATCATTTTCCACTTTACAGCCACCTGATGAATTACACATTTTAAAACTATTACACCAAAGTAGTAGGTGCAGAGGGGGAGTCTCAAAAAAAAAAAAGGGACAAAGATAGCAATACAAACTGAATTTCAAACTTTTCCCTGCCGTATCCAAAAAGTTAAAAAAAACTGTTGTAATGCTAGCATTAAACTAATTTGTCTGCCTGGGAAAGCTGTGTTTTGTAATAAAAAAAAAAAAAAAAAAAAAAAAAAGAACAAATCCCTGGGAAACAAACTAGTACTTTCGAAGGAACCCCCTTCAGTCTTTACACCAAAATGCATATCTAGCCTGGTTGAATTATAGTATGCAATATTACATCAAATACTGAATTTTCCTGGAATTTCCACAACATTGGAAACATTGCTGAAAAACCATCACAGACTGAAATCTTAATTAAAAAAAACAAACAGTTTCCAAGAGCAGATTGTTTTTAAAGAATAACAAAGCCAAACAATTTAGCTATATGAAGCTATTAATAGTAATTACAAGGCCATGCAATGTTTCAGGTGCCTACCAGAAAAAAAACCCCAAATTTGCCAATAACTGGTATTTTGCTACACAAAGACTTCCATTGGAGAATGTCACTTACTTTACTTGGTACAGACACATTTTTCAGAGCACACAGACTGCATCAGTTCCTGCAATCTAAGGCATTCTGTAAACTGTGCATTTTTGATGGGAGATGGAGCACCCAGAGGCAGACTAAATAGAAAACGTTGGTGTAGACTGGTCAACAGAGGGCTGCACATGCCATTTAATCCTTTGACTGCCATGACATTTTTTAATTGTCTTTTAAGAGCAGACAGCTGCTGAGCTTTGGCATAGCATGCCCTGAAGCTTTATCTGTGCATAACCCCAGGTTGTTTCTCATTGGTACACATTTACTCACCTCACAAGACTGCTTGCTTTCCATTATTTTTAAAATGGTGTCTTTGAGAGCATGATGAACAAATGGAGTTGCAGTAGCTTTCATATATTGCTCCATGAGTGTGCTTGCCAAAGTTGTGGCACGGAACAGAGTTGTAGCTTCATCTAAAGTTATAAAGAAGCACAAAATCATACACTGATCACATACATTATTTCTCACACTGAACTATATCAATGCTGCAATCCAGATTATAACTGCTTTGAAGCCCTTGTTCTTGGAAAACATTACAGGACTTCATGTCCATGATAGGAATTTGCTGCCACATTTAGGTGACTGGACACTGGCAAAAAAAAAAAAAAAAAAAAAAAAGGACCGGAAATCCCCTCGTGGGCATAACCCTCACCCAGCCAGGCAACACTTCAGTTTTTGTAGCAAGTCATGAACCGCAAAGGAACAGGAGCTGAATTCGTCTCCTGTGATATACTCAAACAAAATTAGATTTTAGGTTTACCTGTAAAATTCTTTTCTTGATCACACATCACAGGACACAGAGCATCTTCATATCCATGAAGATAGGGATGTCCCAAAACACTTAATATGAGGAGAGGGTAAAATGGCATTGAGAGGGTAAAGTTGGCCCTAAGCAACTAAACCAAAACCAGTTAAAACCTCACGAAACAGCCTAAAAAACATGCTGACTAAAGGTATCTTCAGCGGCTACAACATGCACTTGGTAAAACTTTGTAAAACTATGAATCGAAAGCCAAAAAGCAGTTTTACAAACTTGAACTACTGAAGCCTGATGTCATATAGACCATCAAGCACCACACTCCTGGTAGAATGAGCAGTCACCAAAAAGAGTTTAAATTTGCACTTCAGACCATAAGCTTGCAAAATAAGCCAACAGATCTATCGACAAATAGTATATTTGGAAACTGTGTGGGCCTTCAGGAAGCACAAAGAGTGAATCCGACTGACAAACAACAGGCTTGATTTCAGGTAACACCTGATAGCATGAACATCTAAAGTATGAAGAGCCTTGTTCCTGGGCATCTGAGGCTTACAACAAAAAGCCGGCAACACAATGTTGTGGTTGTAATGGAAAGAAGAAACTGCCTTAGGTAAAAATGACAGCTGTGGCTGTAGAACCTTGTCATGGTGGATCACAGGGAATGGTTCCTTCCAAGAAGAGAAAAGCGAATTCTACTCTGCAAGCCGAAGAAGAGACCAGCAGAAAAAAACATCCATGTTAGGAGGGCTTAAGGATTAATATCCTTGATGGGTTTAAATGGAGATTTCAACAACAGAGAAAGTACCAGACAGAGGTCCCACGAACTCCTAACTAGTGGAACATTACGTGTGACACCTTGCACAAAAAACGTATACAAAGAGTGGAAGGCAATCTGTCTTCAAAAAAAATTCTGAAAAGGCCAAAATCTGGCCCTTGATCGTACTCAAGGCTAAAAACCAATCAACTCAAGTCTGGAGAAAGTCCAAGATACAACCAATGGCATATCAAGCAAAATAAGATTTTAAAACTTCCAACTTTGCCTTCTTTGAAGTCACCTTAGTGTAGAAATGACTGAATCAGAGACTCCCCTGTCTTTCAAGACCCTGACTTCAACAGCCATGCCAATAAAACCAGCAACTGTAAAAGAGAACAGAAGATTGGAAATTGTGACAGAGGGCTGGGTTGATTTGGAAGGAACCAAGGGTCATCCATCAGACATGTTTACAATGTCAGAGTTCTCCTAGACCAGGCTGGGAATCAGGGTAAAGAATTCCTTCCTCTAGCCACTTCAGCTCTAGAAGATTTACCCCCTTTCCTGACCAGGCCATTTTTTGCGATACGGCGTTGCGTTACTTTGGTCATGCAACACTGTACTCAAATTAAATCCTTTTTTTTTTTTTTCAAACAAATAGAGCTTTCTTTTGGTTGTTTTTGATCATATCTGCGGTTTTTACATTTTGTGAAAAAAAAATATTTGTTTGGAAGGAAACCAACTCTCCCACCGAACAAACTGAAATTGTATTGAAATCTTGTGTTGAATATGTGTTTTTTGTTGATGCTATCCAAGATATCTTCCCAATCCTTCAACTCCAGAATCTGACCTAAGGCGCCTTCCCACTTTAACATAAGTATGTTTGGGAAATGCAGTAGTGTCGATAAGGAGTCTGTAAATATCTGTGATAAGATGTAAGTATGTGGAACTGTCAAGACATTCTCTCAGATGGGGATACTTTGGAAAACATGAGATTATCGGTAAATGAATGCGTAATGTTTGCTTTGAATATAAGTGAATAGCGCTCTAGTTGCCACAGAATGCTTAGATTGTATCTCAGCAAAAGATAATTTCCCAGTGGTAGAGCCAGCGAAGGTCACATCGTTTGACTTTTGAGGCTGGAAAGAAGTGAGGGATTGCCTATGAATGAAGACAAATGGGATCCCTTTACAGAAAGATGAAGTTTAGCATTACAATAAGACCACATAGTTGGTTTTAGTGTGAATCAGAGGTCAATAGTAGGGCATTCCTGACACATGAATTACCAGGCCACAACAATGAATTGGTATGGACAGGGGCTATTCAAAGATGTTCAATCTCTGTTCATTTATTGGGTGGGCATAACGTACACCAGAAAGCCAAATAACTGGGATGGGCAGCTTAATAATACATGGCAATATCTGAAAAGTTTAGGCCTTCCTGTCGATGGAGCTTCTTGCAAAACTGAGACTGTGGTTTGGCATAGAGCCTGAGGCCCGAGACTGGCAAAATGAATGCTTCTTGCAAGCAGAAGGAGGAGCAAGGTTCTGAACCATAGGCTTATTTTTAAGTAGTAATGGATGTAATCATCGAAGGGAGGACCAAACATTCCCCTTGAAAGCATAAACATTCCACACGCTTCTTACAAAGTAACTCCGCTGATCAACACTTCAGCCATAAGATCCTACAAGGTGTTCACTAAAGAGCTAATGGAACAAAGGAAATCCTCTAGGATTCTCCTCATTTGGTATCTCCACTGGTAGGATCCATTTCTCATCATGCAACAAGCCCAGAGCTTAAGGCTTTGGCACATACCTACAGCCACAATTGTAGGCTGTAAAGCTGCCCCCACCAGAGCAAATATGCTTTAAATAAGGCCTCCAGATGTTTGCCTGAGGCATTTTTAAATATCAGGAGCCTATCCCACTGGACCTTTTTGATGGAATGAACACCTTGTCGGGGAAAGGGTGGGGGTCTACGTCCAGGTTCCTCCCTACCCTGAAGGTATTTGGGACCCCTCACCCCCTAAACCTCCTCTCTGCCATCTATGAGACACGGCCTGCTGGCAGGTTATTTTGGGTTCCTTACAGGGAACAGAGGTCCAAGTCAGCAGAGATAGCACTAAGCCAATAAGCATCAGTGCCCTGGTTACCCTAATTTCCCCTTAATTTGCCAGTACCCCAGTCCAGTCCAACAAGGAAAGCTATGCTTAGACTTGTAGTCCAACCAGGATACTGTGCTGTGACCTGTAGTCCAACCAGGATACTGTGCTGTGACCTGTAGTCCCACCAGGACACTGTGCTGTGACCTGTGGTCCCACCAGGACACTGTGCTGTGACCTGTGGTCCCACCAGGACACTGTACTGTGACCTGTGGTCCCACCAGGACTGTACTGTGACCTGTGGTCCCACCAGGACACTGTACTGTGACCTGTGGTCCCACCAGGACACTGTACTGTGACCTGTGGTCCCACCAGGACACTGTACTGTGACCTGTGGTCCCACCAGGACACTGTACTGTGACCTGTGGTCCCACCAGGACACTGTACTGTGACCTGTGGTCCCACCAGGACACTGTACTGTGACCTGTGGTCCCACCAGGACACTGTACTGTGACCTGTGACCTGTGGTCCCACCAGGACACTGTACTGTGACCTGTGGTCCCACCAGGACACTGTACACTGTGACTGTGACCTGTGGTCCCACCAGGACACTGTACTGTGACCTGTAGTCCCACCAGGATACTGTACTGTGACCTGTAGTTCCACAAGTGTGATCCACTGCTTATGGCTGAGATGTTTGTTCTTTACTTCTGAGCACACACTCATCAAAACTGGACCCCTGCAGGGACATCACAGTCATATTGTGCATGCACACACAGCCCAGAGTGTACTTGAGTGAATGCAAAGGGTAGAAAAAAAGCTCTCTGCCTCCTGCATTTGGTGCCTAGAACTACCCTCAACTCTGCAACAGATATTTAGCGGTCATGGCAGCCAAGGAAGCTACACACAAGTTACACCAAATGAAAATAGCAAGTGTAATGAGAAAAAAATTAATCCTATAGAAGCCGACCTTCGAGTCCTGCCCCAAGAAGAATTGGGATCCAAGTCAGAGGGAACCGCTGTCTATACTTTTATGCAGACATGACCACCACCTAAGACACTAACAAACCGAAGACTTGCCTAGCTGTTAGGCCTTTGAGGGTTTTCCTGCCTTTTTGTCAGTGTCCAGTCACCTTCAGGAGGCAGCATAACCCCATCATCAAGGATATGAAAAGAAGGTCTGTGTCCCGCGATGTACGACAAAAATATTTAAAAAACATACTCCTATAAAAAAAAAAACAAGGGCAAATGCACATAAACAGCGCAGATATTGTGTCCACATATACAACCATTTCCCCAACCACTGCATTAGAAGAGCATCATGTGCTTGCCCAAGTTGTAGCAGTGGGTGATGGTGATGTCTTTCAGAGATAGCAAAGAATTAACTTCCTCAGAAATAAACTGGAAGACATGTTTATAAGGTACTGTGTGGCAGCATAAACATGCCTTCTGGAAAACTGCAGGTGATATATATTAAAAAGAAATTCATCTTCAAACTTCACAATGGCAAGGAAATCTTAAATTAGATCTTCACCTAGAAAGGGAAGGTCTGCTTATCCTCTTCCTCATTATGAACAATTATTTTTTTTCCAAGGAGCAGGTCCTCTTTTCTGACAGGTACCTGCTCCAACTCCTGCTCTGCTCACCTATGTGAATAGATTGGAGGTTTGCCCCCTCTGCCCGCAACCTCCTGGGACATGTCCCAGGAGACCATGAAGAAAGGGCAGTGCTTCTCGTGCATGCACAGTGGGGAGCTGGCTCTGAGGCCACAGGAAACTTTCCACAGTCAAGATGGTGGCGC